TAACATCAATTCAAATCCAATTCATATTGGAAATAATTATGAGCAACAACTCTGGTTGTTCTCATAATGATTAAGTTTGCAGTTAAGAAAGACAAAAGGAGAACAAACAGTTTTTAATGATCATTGAATTTATTGCTTTTAAAATATATATATATTCAAAAGGTCACCATCAAGTATAATATGTCAAATAAATGACTCGCGTGTAGATGTACATATTTATTTGTTCAGTATTTTTGAAAGAGAATACCCAACAATTTATGTTTTTTTTTTGGCCAAGAAATATGAATGTACACAATGTACTGTAAAATGAATATCACATGAACTTGAATTTTTTTGTAATAATTTCTCCTTAACAAAAATGATCAAAAATGGGTTCTAAAACAGTTTTATAAATATTGGTCACAGATGGTACTTTTTTACATAATTGACATAATGGGGATGAGGCTCTAGTAAATTTACACCATTACATGTAGGTTGCAAGGTCTGAACCTTTTTAAGGTCATAGGTCACAACTCCATTTAAATGTAGGTCACTATGTTCTCCATGTCCTAGGTTGCATTTTGTCATATTGATATCAGATTCCATGTTGAATATATGTTAAGTTGTGTAGTAAAATGGCTTGCCAATTTGCAATGCTAAGTTCCCTGGACGAAATAATTGAATGCTATGAAGGTCATCACATAATACTTGCTGGTTATTTACTAATTAATTCACTTCTTTTTTTTTAATTTTTATTATTACTTATTTATAGTTTTATTTATTTAATTTGATTATTATTATGGTTTTATTTCCTGTATTTATATTTTTACTTATTAGTTTACAACATTATCTTTTGTTTTATAGTTGCATAAGACTGGTCACGTAACATTTCAGAGTCTATTATAAAACTATAACAATTATGAAATTTCAGATTACCAAGCATTTTTAAGTTTCCCTCTTTTAGAGGTTCTATATATTATGCTGATTTAATAGTAGGTGGAGGTGATACTAATATTTCTTTTTTTTTAATTTTATGTAGCTTTATAGTTTGTTATAATGCTTTCTTTTAAAAATTTAGTGAAATTGCAAAGTTTATTTTTAATTTATCTCTTTTGAAAAAGATTGAAAAGTCTAATTATAAAAAGACAATCATGCAATCAGTTTAAATAACTTATAAAATCCTATTAGAAAAGAACCAAAATAGCAAGACCAACTTTTTTCAAGGAACTGGTTAACTATGAAAGGTAACCTTTTTTATAAATGACCCTGATTTCTCTTTAAAATAATTTCTTAACATAAGGTTTACCTAATTTCAATAATTGGTGGGTTAATGTTAAGTGTTAATTACTGTCAGGTTGAATGTAAGTATGTTTACCTTGTTTATAAATAGTTTGCAAATACCCCTTTCTGGCTTTGCTGGTTGTTATGTTTTAAATGTTAAAGCCAGGAGTAGAACTCTGTGTACTGCTAAACACAACAATCATGTTTTATTGAAAAATTGGATAAATCTTCAACATAAAATTTATAACATATTTGTTGACAAATTATTTAAAACATAAAATGTATTTTTTATTCCAATCTAATCCTTTTAATGAATTTATTTGGTTTAAAAATAATGTTTTCATAATATTTTTTTAAAAACTTAAAGAAACTAAACATGTGAATAGTATTTTTTTTTTTCATTTTAGGAATAAATGTAAAATAAAAAATGTAAATTATTTGTCTTGTTTCAAACTATAAAATAAAAGACTTAGTGATCTAAAATTACTAATTTCAGTTAAAAGGTTCAGAAATAAATGATATATAATTTGGATAAAAGTTTGCATGCAAAAATATATAGATTTACTTTTCATATTATTTTGGCATGGGCTAAATGTATTCCTATAAGTACTTTAAAAATTCATTTAGATTAATTTGCAAATAACAAATGAATTTTAGTATAGGTTTAACTATTGAAATATATTGTTTTTCCATTTTTCGATTTGGTTAAAATTTTAATTCAGCTGTAAAACCAATAATTAAAAACAAAATTGCATTTTTCAAATGTATTTTTTTCCCTTTTGATAATCGTAGAAGGGTTTTTAAATTATTAATGAAGGGGTAATGAACACGAGTTCTGCTCATGATTCAGTTCAAAGGAACTATTTTTTATTGAAAAATTGAACATAAAATTTATAAAATGCACTTTGTAGAATACTGTATGCCAGATATAATCTAGTAACTTTAATTTATTTCATCTGGATTTTTTTTTAAAGGAAGATGAAGATCATTAATATATATTTTTTTATATTATTTTTAGTTAAATTGTCCTTTGAACTGGATTACTAGAGGGCCTCTGGATATTGTTAGAACAGTATGGACAAAAATATATTTCTGTGGTTTCAATTTTAGCTAAAATAAATATTAAAACAATGTTTCTTTCATTGACATTTATTCAGAAACAATTATTTAACCTGAAATATGTGGTTTAATATGTCTGATTAATTCAATTAAGAATCACAACTATGAACTATTCCTGAGAAAGTAAGGATGACATTTTTTATGAGAAGAGTAACTGAAATGAAACCATGAAATATTTTTCGGTCCATTCTTACAAATATCAGGAGTGTATCCACCAATAAAACCGGTGGACGTGTTAAATTTAAACAGTCAGCTTCTAGAGACCACCATTTACTTAAAATAAATAACAGGAGGGGCATCACTGTTTATATCCTGACAGGACACTACTTAATTACAGCACTGATTTTAACTACATACAGATCTCATTTTAACTGTACACACTTGAAGGTTTTTAGCTGTTCACTCACGCTGGAGTATATACACTCAAACATGAGTCCACTCCATGACGGGAAGATAGATAGATAGATACACTGACAGGCAGACACGATATTTAACAAATGACCGCTTTTTCAATGATATTTTCATAAACTGAAACTCACATTTTTATTAAACTTTCAAATGTGTGCCCAGTAACACTGCTTACAAATCAATAATAAGGGGAAAACATTTGTTCAGTCCAATTTATGATCACCGTCGTGTTGTTGTTGTTTTGGGGTCGAGTTATTCCCCTTTAAACGTCCTATTTTTCGACTTGTTGAATCGTCACTGGGCCGGTTTACCTGTCGAGTTTTTCTATCAGTGGGCTTTTCTTCAACAAAATATCAATAGCTATCATCTCATCTATAGGAATACACGTTACTATTTCGTGTGTCATTTCAATTTACATTTATTTATTTTCAAGTGTCACTTCCGCGGCCCGTATTTTCATCTTTCACCACCAAATTTGCAATGAAATATTGTATTTTCAGCCTTTTAATAATAACGTAGTGAAAGTTTGGAATCTGCCGCATCAAAGGGTATACTTGGTTTAGAATGGGAAACAGGTTAAATGTCTTTACGCAGCTTTTTTCGTGACGTCAATGCCGTTTCTAAAAATTGCCATTTTTTTGAATGGAAAAGCACGTGAGATTTGTCGCATTTTCGACGCCATTATGAGAATTGCTGCCCGGCTGGATATGGGACGAGCTCTGACGTCCAAAGACCCCAGCTTGTCTGGCAAAACAGCCGTTGGACGTCAGAGCAATCTAGGACTAATTACTATTGTGTTTTGTTGGTATAACTTATATAATAAAAGAACAGAGTTCCAATGTCCCTGTGTTGCACAAATTTATGTATCCAAGGTACAAGGGCAATAACTATAAAAAAACATTTTGTTGTTTGTTTTAGACTTTTTATTAATATCTCAGAGAAATGAATGCTTCAGAGCAAATGCAATGTGATTTCCATTATAATTAATATTTTCATGAGGCATAACTTGTCAAAAATTGTTGATCAGCACTTGTTTTCGAACTCGTCAAAGAAATCGAAGATTTGAACCTATAATATAAATTTCTTAGAAATCTGTCAAGAATTGTTCAAATTAGAGTGCTCATAAGGCAATTTTCTATCAAATCAATATTTTCAAGGGGCATAACTGTTTCAAAAATTATTGATCGTCACTGATTTTCGAACTTGTCACAAACATTGCTTATATCTAAAACTATGATTTAAGTTTCATAAAATTCATGCAAGAATTGTACACGTGCTAGCTCAAACAATGCAAATATCCATATATTTAATGTTTCCAAGAGACACTTTTTAAAATAATTGATTGGCACTGATTTTCGAACTCGTCAAAGACATTAATATTGCTGATATAAATCCATGATATAGTTTTCATAAAAATCTGAACCAATGAGAGCGCTGACGATGCAATTTTCCATATGATTAATCTTTCCGAGGGGATAAATTCTTCTAAAAATAATTGATCGGCACTGATTTTCGAACTCGTCCAAGACATTGCTAATATAAAAACTATGATATAAGTATTATAAAAATCTAGCAACAATTGTATACGTGAAAGCGGTAACAAGACCAGACGGACGGACACCCGGTGTTTCTATGTCCCCCGCAACGCCTTGTGCGGGGGACAACAATATCTTTCTTAAGAACACGAACATAAGATAAAAGCTATGTCATAACTATATACACAGGCACTAGACGTTCTGTCAATAGTAATAAAATATGGGCAATGGGAAGAAAATAGTGTCCATGTATATAAATCTTTTAATATACATGGACACTATTTTCTTCCCATTGCCCATATTTGAAAATAGTGTCCATGTATATAAATCTTTTTATATACATGGACACTATTTTCTTCCCATTGTCCATATTTTATTACTATTGACAGAACGTCTAGTGCCTGTGCTATATATTTTGCCCAAACCCAAAACGAAAGTTGAAATAATAAACTTTTATACACTTCACGTAATTCGGTCATCCTTATACTAGGAAGTATATTAACATAACTAAACATGTTAAATAAGAATTAATCTCGGAAATATCCAATCTAATTAAAAACCGATCTCTCATCGCTCCCGTTTTCTGATATGTCGCGCGCGACATATCAGAAAACGGGAGCGATGAGAGATCGGTTTTTAATTAGATTGGGAAATATCAAACAACACCTAAAAATGTACCTTTTAACTTGAAATGTACATTTCCGTCTGATTTACCAGGAAGGTTATAAACCACGTGACTGTTTCATAAACTGATAAATGCCGCGAATATTCAAATTCAATCTACACACTTACAAGTACGATAACGCCGATGTATTAAAAAATCAGCTTATTATTGTGGACATTTCTTATTGTTTTTCCATCTTTCCTTTTATTATTTATTTATTTCATTATTTCGGATTACTTAAAGAGGAATTGTTGCCAGTGAAATCCTCAAACACAATGTTTAAGCAGTTATATATATATATATAAATTGACAGGGCAAAAAATGATAAGCAGGTAAAAGATCCATCCACCTTGAAATTTTCAGAGAAATTGGACAACCTGATTTAACATGTTTAAGTGGTAATTGCTGGTAAAAAAAATTTCTTGGCAAATTTCGCAGTTGTTTTCTTTTGTTTTGTAATTATCTTGACATTACAGTTACTGTTGGTTGAAAGGAATCAAAATGATCAGAGAGACAACACCTACAAACAAGTTTGGTCTCACAAATTAACAACAAGGAGCGACAGGAAGGAAAATCTAGCGATCGACAAGGGGACAAATTTGTTTAAATATCCTATAAAACTTTTTTTTTTCTGTACATTAATTAGGCCGTTTGAATTGTTTTACATTTGTCATTTCGGGGCCTGTTATAGCTGACTATGCGGTATTGGCTTTGCTCATTGTTGAAGTCCGTACGATGATCCATAGTTGTTAATTTCTGTGTCATTTGGTCTCTTGTGAAGGGTTGTCTAATTGGCAACCATGCTTCATCTTCATTTTTTTATCAATCAATTCCATTTGATGATTTGCTTCATAAAGTTTCAAGTCAAGTATTAAGTAAAATCATCAGTCGACCAACTCCTTATGGGAGATTTTGACATAAATTACAATCATTACCAACTTTTGGCAATAATCCTGAAAACCATGTGCAATAGACTAAGCGTAACTTGGTGGATCGTCTCATTATACCGCTCGGTGATCTCATGGTAACCTGCTCGTTTCGCGGGAGGTCGTGGATTCGATCCAAAGACTAGGTAATAACTGCTTCTCTGCTAAACTATACGTCAGAGCAAAAACGGGTTGTTCCTGAGTCAGATTAAATGTATGAGTAGGGTGACATTTCCTCTTGCAGACTGTTACATAGGGAAACAATCCGGCTCAATGTGTCGTTCTAGTACAAATCAAGGTTCATATTTATATCACATAAAAATAAAGAGATGTGGCATGATTAAATGCCAATGATACAATTATCCGCCAAAGATCAAATGACGACGATAAAAGCAAGTATAGACCACCGTACGGCCTTCAACAATGAGAAAAACTCATACCGTATAGTCAGCAATAAAAAGCCCCGACAAGAAAAAAATTAAACGAGAAAACTAACGGCTTGATTCATTCATTGTTTTGATTTTGACCGCCTGACAACTTTACGTAAATATCAGAGTGATTATAAACAAGGACTCTGTGACGGGCAACTTATAATATCCGTGTTTTAAAGATTTTAATGATATCAAGCCAGTCCAGTTCAAACTATTATCACGTGGTACAATTCTCATTTACATATAATGAATATTAATTAGCAAAAGTACTACTAATTTCTGGCTATGAGTCATTCCTTAAATGGATTATGTAAAATTTATTAATGGTTCGTGCCCCGAAATGAAAATAACGTCAGGTAATTGGTTGAATTTTTATTGTTTACTAGGTTTTAAACAAATCACGACGTTTTGGTGTTCATTTTTGGGAATATTACCCAGAACGCATTAGATTTTGAAAAGCCGAATTGGATCGGAATCTTATACTTAATGTGTAAGAGATTGCTTTCACTGTTGCAAATCATTTTTTTTTAAAGAGAAAGATTCAGGCAACTGGAAACATCCAGTTCATATCATTATGACTATCAAATCAGTAGGACACCAAGGATCGAAATATATTTAAACATTAAAGTAAATCTTGGAATAAGCATTCACACCAAGATTGATGACAATTAGTGAAGCGCTTTCAGAAAAATTTTCTTAAATCAATTATGCTAAAAAAAAATATTTAATCACAATATCTCACCTTGGCACTTTGAATAAGATAAATACTTTATATATGAACAAGTTCACCATTTGATAAAAATACTGTAAATTCAGATATTGTTGCTTACAACCTTTAATGCAATTGTTGAACAATAGATAAAACTGAGAGATACATTATTACGATTTCAGGAATATCTTCATTAAAAAAATGCTAAATGCGAGCTTTTATTTTGGCGAAACCTATTCGTGCACTAGTAAAGACATGTAAAATAAATTGCATTAACAGCTTATTTTGTCTCTGTTTCATATTCATATTTACGCTGCTATGTCAGTATGTCATCAAGAATTTAAAAATATCATCTTTTACCTGAACAATCTAATGACCATTCGTATCAAGACTTGTCACAATTGGCAAATTGCTTTCAGAGGAAATCTCTGAAATAATTTCTAAAAATCAATTATGCAAAAACTTCTCCGGAAGTCTCATCCTGACACTTTATACCAGATGAAGATTGTTCACCATTTGCTCAATGCATGCGTCAGATTTACTTTTCTATCTTTTATGAAAATTCTCATACATGAACAAGTTGTCAATCATTTGATAAATATGTTGAGGATAAATAGAGACTATCACAGTACCGCGGGAATTATACATGTACTTATACGCGTTAGCGCTGTCTATATATGTAACGTCACGATATCTATGTGTAAACGTCATTGTATTCCAGCATTAAGGATGTACTTAGGTGAAATTAAAAAATCTAGAATTTAAAATTGATTTTATAAGTCGGAAGAGCATTAGTTAAGGAACAAAATAAGCTAAAAATATTGATAGGTTATGGAGCTCCTTTTCTAGATATTCGATTTTTAAAAAATGGCGGGAAAAGGCTGAATTGGACTTTTACCTTATATTTGCATTGGTATTTTGGGGATCTCAAATCGAAAGAAAAGAAATCTAGAATCTGCTTAAATTTTGGTTAATGACCTTTTATGAGCTATTGAAGTCTTATATGAAAAAAAATGGGTGTTATGGGACAAAATATTTTACGCTGTATTTACAATGCTCTCGTTAGCGAAACAGTGATATACCCTTATTTGCTTCCGTCAAAACACCCGTTGGCAACATTGATTATTTTGGACGCACACGAACTACAAAAACACAGTGGAATAAATGGGACAATTACGTTAATTCAACAGACATTTTGGATACCGAAAATCCGACAAAGAGTGAAAACCGCATTACGGAGTTGTATTCCCTGTAGGAAGATAATAAGTCAACCGTATGTTGCGCCTGACCCACCACCTCTACCAAAGGACCGTCTTGGTTGATTTTTTGTGTGTTAACGCCACTTTTAAGCACCGCTTTTGGGCTATTTCGTGGCGGCCAGTTTTTATTCGTGGACGAAGCCGGAGTGCCCGGAGAAAACCACCGACCTTCGATAGGAAAACTGACAATCCTAGTCAATTAAGATTGGAGTCGAGTGCACCCGCACGAGCGGGGTTCGAACTCATAACCTGAGTGTTGACTGGCTAGTGATTACAGTAGTAACTACTTAGACCACTCGGCCACCTGACTATTTATATCTCATCCGGTCAATACGGGCAATTGTACTGTCATTAGTGTAACCCAACTGTTGGCAACGTATCGTGCCGATGCGGTATGTGGGAATATACTGGGGAAAAAAATAACAATATACCAAGAGTAATATCATGTAAGCGTACAGCTTCCGGAATTTGTAGTTTTCTGTCCAACAGAGGGATGTAAATAAGAACAATGAGTTTCGATGTACTCAATCTTCCTTTAATGCTTTGTACAGGCTTACATAATTTGGGCACGAAAAACAATCATATTTTGTAGTATTTCTTCAAACTGTCAATTATAGCGAACTGTACGACCAGCAAGTTAACAAATAAGGCCGCTAGACGTCAGAGCAATCTGAGATTCAAACACTATGCATAGTTATTTTTGTACTATTGATGACCGTACTGCCTACAACAACAACAAAATATCCACTATGCTGAGCCTGACTCAGCTAGCTTAACCAGGTGACTGTATCGCAATCTCGGCAAATATATAAAGAACACAACTTGTTTCAAAAATTGTAATTATAATATTCCACCAGAAAGGTTTACAAGTAGTCAGTAGATTGTTTGTGGTAAACTGCAATAAAACAAAAAGAAATACTTACAATGTATGAAAGAACATATTAAAGTTCATATGCAAATATTTAAAACAATGAAATGAAAACGAAAGTAGAATTTACAGTTCCAATCTCGGTTTTAAATAACTTACAGTTCGTATGCATTTAATAAATCACTTATCCAAATTAACGAACTTAAACAGATTAAATTATCACAGTTTATAAATGAATAAAACGTACTTGACAGTGATATGTCTCGATTTCCTCAGAAAATTAAATGTCGTCCATGTTACATGTGTTGAAATATTGAAACAGACGGTGTCACAGGAATTAAAGGCGTACGGTGATGTAAGAAATCGGTTCAGTACGATTTGTTCCGGATGATTATGAAAACATATAGTAAACATTGAATGTGAAACAGAATACTCCCCGTCTGATGTCTAACTGATATCACTATTCCAAATATATAACACACTGTAAAAATCCATAGTATCATTATTAACAAAAACTATATACAATCGTTCTCTATGAGAAGAATCATGTCCACGATTGGGCGTGTGTAGATGGTGGCTTTTCCATTTACGATGATTCGTACTTCTGCTTTCCGGACATGTTCGTCGGAACTCTTAAATGAATTTACTATAACGCCTATGGGCCATTGAGTACGGCAAAGGTTTTTGTCCTTTAGGAGAATGACGTCTCCTTTGATGAGATCACGGCGATCTTCGGTCCATTTTCGTCGTGGTTGTAGTAACGGCAGGTACTCTTTCCTCCAACGGGACCAGAAAACACTGGCCAGAGCCTGTACACGTCTCCATTCGGCTAGACATAGATCCTGTTTGTCGAATTCTCCAAGCTGATCTGAAGTGAAGATGTAATCGGTCTTTTGTGTCAATAACATAGCTGGCGTTAAGATTAACGGATTCTCTGGATCTGTCGATACCGGTACCAGAGGTCTAGAGTTCACTATTGCTGAAACTTCTGCCATTAGTGTGTTGAGCACGTCGTGCGTTAGGCTTCTTCCTGCTGCGTTTAGAAGCATAGAATCAAGAATTCTCCTTGCGATACCAATCATTCTTTCCCAGGCTCCACCCATGTGGGACGAATGTGGCGGATTGAAGATCCAAGTTGTACCAGAATTGTACAGAAAGTTCTTGAAGGGTCCATCTTCGACGTTGATTGAGTCAATCTTTAAATCGTCGATTGCACCAATAAAGTTTGTTCCACGGTCAGATCGGGAAATCTTAACTTGACCTCTTATAGCGGCGAATCTTCTGACGGCGTTTATGAAGGCTGAAGAGCTCATTTCCTCGATTAGTTCGATATGAACAGCTCTTGTCACTAAGCATGTGAAAAGAATTGCCCAACGTTTTGAGTTGGCGTATCCACCACGTGTTTTACGTGAAACAATTGTCCAGGGTCCAAAGGTGTCTATTCCAACGTTGGTAAACGGAGGTGACGGTTCAAGACGGTCCTCTGGCAAATCGGACATGATTTGACACTCGGTTTTCCCTCTTAGTTTGCGGCATATCACACATTTGTGAATAGTTGAAGATATCAAGCGTTTTGCTCCGACGATCCAGAATCCTGCGGATCGAATCGCTCCGTCTGTGAAGTGGCGTCCTTGATGTTTTACCTTGTCATGGTAGTGTCGGACTAATAATGTCGCTATATGATGGCGTCCAGGGACGATCAATGGTTTCTTTTCACGGAGGTTTAAGTCAGATTTGACAATACGGCCTCCTACTCGTAATAGTCCTCGTTCGTCCAAAAACGGATTGAGGTTAGCTATCGGGCTCCGCTTATGAATTTGTTCCTGACGTTTAATGCAATCTATTTCATCTCCGTAAACTTCATGTTGTGCAGATATTAAGATGAAATTTTCGGCGTTCGAAAAACTTTCCAGAGAAGTAACTGGTGCTGCCTGTTTTGACCCGTGTAAACGAGAGAAACGTTCCAAAAAGGCTATCGCTCTCACAAGTGATGTCCAGTTGGAGAATCGGTTGAATCTTTCAGTTCCGATACCTTTACGCTCAGTTGTGGCAAAGGTCTTTGCAACATTAACAGTTGCACGGATTTCTCCATCTTCCTCTGGATCTATTAGTTGATAAATGTCCTCGGAATTCTCCTGTTCTCCGGAAAGAAGTTGTTTCGGTCCCAATAACCACTCACTACTATGAATTTCGTGGGCTGGTACGGACCTTGTTCCCGAATCTGCGGGATTACGGTTCGTTGGTACATAATTCCATTGACTTGGAGAGCTAAATTTCCTTATTTTCTCTACTCTATTGGCGACGTAGATTAAGAACCTTCTTGTCTCGTTACTGGTGTAACCTAAGACCACTTTACTGTCTGTGTAGAATTTCACGGTGTCTATGTGTAAATCTAAATTATCCACGATGGTTTGTGTGATCTCAACTGCTAATACGGCAGCAGATAGTTCAAGTCGAGGAATAGTGTGACCACTTGTAGGTGCAACTTTTGCTTTCCCAAGAATGAACCCCATGTTTGGTTCACCACCACTGTCGATCGTGCGTAGATAAGCAACAGCTGCTATGGCTTTTTCTGACGCATCAGAGAAGACATGTAATTCCTTTGTGACGGTTTTGCTGAGATACGGTACGTAGGTACGTGGAATGCGCAATGTTTCAATAGCTATTAAAGTATCTCTCCAAGATTTCCATTCAACTGCTGTCTCATCAGAGAGAGGTTGGTCCCAATCGACGGTTTCTGATACTATCTTCCTTAGTAGGAGCTTTCCTTGTAATATCACAGGAGCTAAAAATCCAAGAGGATCGTAGATGCTGTTTATCGTTGATAAAATCCCTCTCCGAGTGATCGGTTTATTTTCTGAAGATAATTGAAATAAGAAGTTGTCAGTGTTTACATCCCAGCTGAGTCCAAGACTGCGTTGTAGGGGTTTGCTGTCGCATTCTAAGTCTAGATCTTTAAGATTTGAAGCCAAATCACTGGCATGAAATGCAGCCATAACTTCCGCACAATTAGAGGCAAACTTGTGAAGGCGCAAGTTTCCATATTTTGCTAATGCTTGCTGTGTGTCCTTCATGAGCTTAACAGCTTCCTCTTTAGTAGGACATGACGTAAGACCGTCGTCGACGTAGAAGTCTCTTGTAACAAAGCTAGTCACGTGGCTGCCGAACTCTTGTTCTGATGCCTGAGCTGCTTTTCTGAGTCCAAGCGTAGCAACGGCAGGTGACGGACTATTTCCGAAAACATGAACTCTCATGCGGTATTCGACAAGGTCTCTTGTAGGTCGTTGTCTCTATGCCATAAAAACCTCAGATAATTTCGGTGGTCTTTTCTGACAACAAAACAGTGAAACATGTGTTGAACGTCTGCAGATACTGCGACCATTTCTTTCCTGAAACGCAGCAGTACTCCCAAGAGATCATTGGTTAAGTCGGGACCTGTTAGCAGGACGCTGTTAAGTGAGACTCCGTTACATTTTGCGGAAGAATCAAACACACCCCTAATCTGATCGGGTTTCTTCGGATGATAAACACCAAACAATGGCAAATACCAGCACTCCTCGTAGTCGTTCAACGGTGGAGCGAGTTCTGCATGATTATTGTCTAGGATCTTACTCATAAATGTAAGAAAGTGTTCCCGCTTTTCTGGGTTTCTATTAAGACTGGCGTCTAACATATTAGCACGATGAAGAGCTTGTGGTCTGTTGCTTGGCAATGGCTGCCTTGGAACTCGGAACGGTAACGGTGCTACCCAACTTCCTTCCGAGTCCCTCACAAATTCGTTGTCCATCTGCTTCATGAACATTTTATCTTCACATGACATTCCAGGCTTATCATCGTCCCTTGTTTTTTCAAAGAGTGGTGAAAGTAAATCTTTCTTAACGGGGTCTGTGTAGTTTTCCCGAATGTCAAATTTGCTTGTACATGGTTGAAACGTTGACGGTTGTCCTGTAGGTAAAATGTTGGTTATTTTGACGTTTAATTCAAGAGGCACGTGCTGCTTGTTAATGCAAGTCTCTCCTATCACTACCCAACCCAGTTTCAATTGTTGTGCATATGGAGTTCTGGGTGGTCCTATGCGCTGGTCAAGGACATGGTGTGCCTCTATAAGGTCTCTGCCAATTAAGAGAAGAATTTGGCAATTTTCCTCTATCGGTGGAATGCTACCTCTAAGTTCTTTTAAATGAGGGTGGTGCATTGTGACTTCAGGAGTAGGTATTTCGTCCCTATTATTGGGAACATGATCACATTCTATCAGTACCGGCAGGTCAAATTTGTCATTTCCATTTATTGATTCCATGACAAAACCTCTTCCTCTTTTCCCGGAAGTGACTACTCTGCCGGAGCATGTTGATAAGGTATAATTCTCCGGTTTGTCTTTTACGTCGAAAAGATTGAAGAATTCGGGCGATGCTAGTGACCGGTTGCTTTGATCATCAATGATGGCGTACATCCGGATAACTTTGTCCTGGTTATTCTTGTGATAAACATTCACAGGTAGTATTTTAACACAAGATTTCCCGCTATATGTTTCCTTGCAAATCTCGGTACAGGTAGAATTAACTGAGGTTGACTTAGTTTCAGCCGATTCTGTAGGCTCCCCGCCATAGGCTTGCTTGGGCGAGCTAGACTGAGAACTTGCAGGTTGCTGTGGTCTAGTAATGTGAAGTGCGGTAGTGTGTTGTTTACTTCCACATTCTTTACAACTTATGCGTGCATTACATTCCCGGCTTCTGTGTGTGGTGGAATCGCAACACTTATAACAGACATTGTTTTGTTTCAAAAGTCCTTTGCGTTCCTCTATTGACTTGGCTCGGAACGCTCGACATTCATTTAAGGAATGCTTTGTATTGTGCAGAATACAAAGACCTTGTTTGCTGGCGTCTCTTGATTGCTGCTCAACCGCTGTTTTATGAGCACCAACTTTAGTCTTGGGGTGAGACGTGAACCTTGGCGCAGCACCTTTTGTATTTGGTGTGGCTTTTGACCCAAAAATGAACCCAGGATCATTCTTTGTTTTGCTAATTTCCCTGATGAAGGCAGAGAATTCTGTGAAAGGTGGAAAGGCAACTTCATATTTAGACTTGTATCTTGTAGCCCTTGTTATCCACTTTTCTTGGAGTCCGTATGGTAACTTTTCAACAATAGGATTTATCCCGGACGAAGAGTCAAAATATGCTAGCAAACATCCCAGCTTGGGATTTTCTTTGTGATACTCTATTTCTGATAGAATATCGGACAAGTCATAAAGACGTGCGCTATCTTTGTTCGTCAAGGTAGGGAAGTTGACGAGTTTACTTGTGAGAGAGGCCTCCAACATTTCTGGAGCACCATATCGCTCATCCAGTCTCTGCCATAACCTTTGTATGCCTTTTGTAGGATTATTGGCATTCGACGCTCGTATGCTAATGGCATGTTTAGCAGATTCTGGACCGAGCCACTTGATCAGAAGATCAATCTGTTCTGAGTCACTAACTTGTAACTCGTCTGTCACGTTCTTAAAGCTTGCTTTCCATGTATGAAAGGATTCTGCCCGGTCATTAAAGCTTGTTAGCCGGGAGAACAGCAGGTCCTTGCGTAGGAGAAATCTGGTTATCTCCGACGTAGGATTGATTTGTTGCTGGTATGCAACAGGGGTCTCTTCTATTACGCCTTGTTTTTGGTGTTCAGTAGGGATCTCCTCCGAAAGGCCTAGTTTTTGTATGCCGGTTACTATTCCCAGATCTGGGATTAAGGTAACTTCCGGTGACTTGGTATCGGAAGGCAAAACAGCAGATGTCTGTGGCGGCAAGTTGAGTGCCACGGATGGCACGAACGCTGGTGCTTCATGACTCAGCTCAATCTTAACAGGACTTTGTCTCATCTTTTGAGGACCTGTTACTTCCTTTACAGCAGTTAGTACAGGATGTTTATTGACGAAATCTTGCACACGCTGGAGAGGGTCTTCCGTTTCGTCAAGGAGATCGCTAACTGCTTGGCTGCCGTCGTATTCCAGGATACGAGCCTCGGCTTCTGCGGCTGCAGCTTCTCTTTTTGCTTCGAGAATCTTCATAGCAGCCCTAAGTTCGGCTTTTTCTCGGACCGCACGTGCTGCTTCCTGTTCCATTTGAGTTTTCCTGCGAACGGCCTCCTGTTCTTTTTCAGCTTTGATGTGCTCCTCCTCCTGTTCAATTCGAGCTTTCAGGTGAGCAGCCTCAGCAATTCTACGTGTGGCCTCTTGTTTTGCACGGATGGCTTCTTGTTCTATCTTGGCCTTGATTTCTGTTTGTCTGTATAGGGTCTGTTCCTCTAATACGGCCTCCTGCTTTAAGAGGGCAGCTTGTTGCTCGGCAAAGGCTATCCTTGATCTAGCGGACTCTGCCTTTGCACGCTTTCTCCGTGCTAGGCTTGACATGTCAGAGACGTTTGAGCTCCCACTATGCGAGGTGTTCTTGCCCTTAGATGTCCTCGTTTTTGTAGATTTAGCCTTTGTGAGGGTAAGGCGATGCTCGTGTAAAGTTTCAATTGCCAGGTCGACTTTAGACATTCGGATATCCGTTGAAAATTTGCACGTATCAATGTCTTGAAGGCTGTCTAATGTTCTTGTATTTTTGAGAAATTTCAAGTACTCGTCTGTGAGCCTGCGATAATTAGTACAGGCTTGTACAATTTTATCTTGTGATGTTAGCAATTGCTGGAGGTCGTTAGGAGGCTTGGTCGTTTCTGATAACTGAGATTCTAGGTTTGACCATAGGGCCTCTAAGTCGTGATAGAACTTGTCACGTTTTTCTATAAAGGCTCCCTGTCCCTTTTCGGTAAGTTCACGTACTCGCCTAGTCTCGGCATTTTCATCTAAATGTGTGTTATCAGACGGATTTTCTTCTAGTTCTTTAGGGACATCTCCCTCAGGGGGCTGAACCTCTTCTTGCTGTTCGTGACTGGGATCCATGATGTAAATCAACTAGAAGTAGGCAATGTTTGTTCAACGTTGTTGGTTTGCTGCCTAGGACGCACAAGCTGTGTTGCGTAGTGTCAAGGTAACAGCTACGAACGATGCTCCGTTGTATTTCCTGTTCAGGAGATGTGTAGACAAGTTGTTGTCAATTTACTATGCTGAGCCTGACTCAGCTAGCTTAACCAGGTGACTGTATCGCAATCTCGGCAAATATATAAAGAACACAACTTGTTTCAAAAATTGTAATTATAATATTCCACCAGAAAGGTTTACAAGTAGTCAGTAGATTGTTTGTGGTAAACTGCAATAAAACAAAAAGAAATACTTACAATGTATGAAAGAACATATTAAAGTTCATATGCAAATATTTAAAACAATGAAATGAAAACGAAAGTAGAATTTACAGTTCCAATCTCGGTTTTAAATAACTTACAGTTCGTATGCATTTAATAAATCACTTATCCAAATTAACGAACTTAAACAGATTAAATTATCACAGTTTATAAATGAATAAAACGTACTTGACAGTGATATGTCTCGATTTCCTCAGAAAATTAAATGTCGTCCATGTTACATGTGTTGAAATATTGAAACAGACGGTGTCACAGGAATTAAAGGCGTACGGTGATGTAAGAAATCGGTTCAGTACGATTTGTTCCGGATGATTATGAAAACATATAATAAACATTGAATGTGAAACAGAATATCCACACTGTGTATTTGGCTTTACAAGTCTCCAACAAGAGAAATATTTAACACACACACATGTATTTATGTAGCGTAACATGTCTTTCAGAGTGCTAATCTGTAACCATCACATTAAGGTCCGTCTTGTGAAAGAGTATTCATCTCCTATAGAAAAAAAAATTGTGCTGATATTCATGTAATATTTGCCACTGAAAGTTTTGCAAAAATCAAAAAAAAAACGAAAACAAAAACAAAAACAAAAACAAAAACAAAACAAAAACTAGTAGGTCAGATGTAGGTTCGTGTTCAGATCACTCAATGTGATCACTTGCATGTCAACAAACAGTGATATAGGGAGATTGTCAGATTCCGATCATGACTGTAAAGGACAACCATTTGTTTAATACAAAGATAGCCGATTCACTCTTGATACCTTGGTTCTTTAAAAAAAAATGGCCAACATGATATAGCAGAGTGCTGAAAGTGGCACACACAATCAATCAGTTATTTTCAAATTACCTATCATTAATCAGTTTTGGCAAAAAAAGTATATAGGCTATACCATACTGAAACATAAATGTGATAAAAGAATATACAATTCAAGAAAGAGAGGTGCACCAACAGAAAATAGAAACTGCAATCTTTCTTTTAATTTCATCGGATCTCAAAACTTTAACTCTTACCAGAATTTTTTTCTATCTCACAGTATAATTCGGAAGTTTCTAAGTGGAACTCAAGTTTTAACTAGAAATCTTACTCGAATTAACATTCGAACTAAAAATAAAACTGGAACTTTAACTCAAAATTTAGCTGGAACTCGAACTCTTATTCTACCTCAAAGGTTATCCACACTCTCATTTGTCATCTGATAAAAAAATTCGTAAGGGTTCCACGGAACCCAGTGTCTCGCCTACTTTTGCTGTTAATCGCAGGCTCAACAAAAATGAGGAAAAAATCACTAAAAATATTCCTCTCGATACTATCTTTTGATTGTAAGAAACTTCTGTCCAAGTTTGGTATAAATCTAGGATAGTTTATGGATCTAATAAATGTTTTAAAAACTTTAACTGCATACTGTATGTAATGTTATCTGGAAGAAAAACTAAGTTCATTTAAAAGTAAAATACGGATAAACAGGTACAAAATTTTGACAAAATTTCCTTCCAGATACGAGCTTCTGTCCAAGTTTGGTACATATCCAGGATAGTTTAAGAAAGTTATTAAAATCTTAAAAACGTTAACCACAGAGTAAATGTATTGTTTCCTGGCAGAAAACCAAGTCCATTTATAAGTCAAATATGGAAAAACAGGAATTTTATTTTTACAAAATTTACTTCTGGATACTATCTTATGATCATAAACAAGCTTCTGTCCAAGTTTGGTAGAAATCCAGGATAGTTTAAGAAAGTTATAAAAACTTCAAAAACTTTAACCGCAGAGTGAATATTTGTAGACGCCGCCGCCGCCGACGACGGAATGTAGGATCGCTATGTCTCGCTTTTTCGACTAAAGTCGAAGGCTCGACAAAAAACTAGAGTTAGATAAAATATATCAACATGTTCAATTAACTCTAAATTATCGGATGCATTGTATTTCTCATAACATACCAAAGTTGAGCGATTAATCGAACGGTAATAAAATATGTGTAATACATAAGGTTTTAATACACAGGCGTTGAACATTGAACATATTATGCACAATGAACATGAAACGATGTATGAAAAATGGGTGCGGGATGATAGAACTCAGAAAAAAATTTGGTTTCCACAGTTCGAATAAATTATGAAGCGTTGTGTAATTACGGAAATGTTAACCAATTTTAAATTTCTACCGACAATAGGTTTCTTTTAACGTGCTGAGTTTGTGGCATTTTTAACATGGCATTTCAGGTTTTATCTTCCCGGTGCGAACGGACAAGCTAGTGAAATTATGGTAACGAAATTATTCTGCCTGCAGTCTAAAAGGAACGTGTTACTTTTCAGCCCGGATACCCTCAGTCTTCCGAGGTAGAAGATTCTTTATCTGGAAGCCGAAAATTATTTCTATAATACGGCATGAGGCAAAAATTCGTTTTCCACATACAACAAATGCAATTAAAAAAACGAGATGACTTCAACTTTGACAATTACTTTATGATAAACTGTTATTGTATCTATGTTTAACGATTCGATAGATTGATAAAAATATCAATGAATAATAAAAATACCTTAAAAAATGTTCAAAAATGATATTATATTTTGTAGTGAAAAGGTTTAATTTAACCAAAGCGTTGCAAGAAATGCTGTTATGCCAGCAACGTCGTTCTATAACGTTAACAGAAAAGGTTATAGTTCCCGCCAAAATTCAATAATAAGATTATTTTCGTTTTAGCGGATTTAAAACATCGGTGACCCCCCTTTTTTATTTATGCTTTTAAAATCTTCCCTGAAACTGCTACTTATGCAGAAGTTTGAATGGAAAAACATTAGTCGATTTTTTTTATTTCAAGAAAAATCTATTATAAATAGCAATTAAAAATGGCGGGAAATGTTCAAAGGCCTTCAAAAATAAGGAAACCGAGACAAATAAATGTTCATAAGGTACAAGTTACATTTGACCGTTTTGTTATTCCAGTTAAACATCGTTTTTCAATAAGTTTGTCTTTTTTTTAGCAATAAAGAGCGCTATTTCTATATTTCGTTATAACGCGATTCTTTAAGTTTTGATGACGTCGTATCTCGAAAACAACATCGGTGACCCCAATTTTTTTTCCGCCTAAAATATTTCAATAAGTATGATCTGTCTACATGCAAAATTTCAATGAATTATTATTAGTATGCCAGCTTTAGCTGGCACTTATGGTAGAAGCATCGAATTGGAATAAAGAACGATAACTCTCTCTACATGATCAATCTAAAAAGTTTCGTCACTCTCGTTAAATCTCGTACGATTTTTTTTTTTAATTTTCGAAGTAGATCAAGTCAAGGTATCTAACTCTTAAAAATATTTGTTTTCTTTTTTTTCATTATATTTATTAAATAAACATTGTATTCTTGCTTGGCTCCAAAGATAAGGTCAATTCTTCAAATAATGAAAACGAAATTAGCATTGGAATATCCGTAAGGACAATTTCAGGACATTAGTTTAACCCTTATATTTTTATTGGCTGCCAGATTCTCGTTTAATCGCGATTTTGAAAAAACGGGACAAAACGGAATAAATTCGATGTTAAATGTGACATGAATTCTTATTTGTTTACAAAAACAAGAATTTAGAAATTTTAGTAACTTGTGCAGTTTATTTAAATTGTATTGTACCACGGAAATAACCGAAGTTTGGACAACATCTTACGCCATGTTTCGTCGTCTGCTTCATCTTTCCATTATCAGTGACAAATCTCCTAAATTACCACAGGTACTTCATTTAAAAGTCACAATATTATAATTAATGATAAAATTTGAGTGTAAAAGTTCCGTCCAGCCATGGGAACACAGAAAAACCCTCTGGAAGCAATAAATTTTGGGAGAAACGTAGCCGGAGGCGGAGGTGAAGGTAGTAGAATCTGCTACAGAATTTCCCATATCAAGTTACAGTGATAATGAAGTTGTTTATACTGTGGAATGTGGTCACTGTTATTCCTAGCTAACAGACAAATGCAGGTGTAATTCAAAGCTTAACAAAAGTTTAAAAAAAAATATATATATTCAAATTCACTGGGCAATCTTCTAATTTTGTAGACTGTCACTGTACTTCCTTTGACAAACTCTCAACAAATCTTGTCATTAATTATGACACATATCTACCTTAAACAGTCCCAGGAGATGGATGTTTTTTTTCACTCTCTAATTTAAAGTTTAATCATAGTAAAAGGAGACTTGAGTCTGAGTGATACATTTAGGTATATATTGTATGCTCCCATATTGTCCAAAATTGGATTTTATGGGAATTACAATGGAGTTATGATAACCCATGATAATACCATGACTTTTGATAGGTATAGAGCATGTTACTTGGAAGTATGTGGGCTACATACATCCTTTGAAATTAAAGCTGCAGACACATTATTTGGAGGCAATATAAATATTTGCCTCCCGCAGTCACCAGTATATTTTATGCGTCAGTTTAAACCTGATCAAAACATTTTCACTTTACCGAATACTTTTATCAGGTGCACATTTCAACCTATTATAGCAATAAACAATTATGGCTATAACGTCACATTACTCAAATTGCACCAAGTACCCAATTTTCACCCTATGTGTATGTATGTATTCAACAAAAAAATAACTGCAGAAATCTTACAAGTTTTTTTTGAGACACAAATCGTTCACAGTGAGAATATACATGTATCAACAGATGAAGCATTCCTGGGAAAAAGTAAATCTACGAAAACATCAGTGTCGTCACCATGCGAAGTTATCTAATTATCATCTTTTAAAAATGTTAGCAACTTCACAACTACAAGTTAATTTTCATGACCAAAATAAAATAAAGTACAAACAAAACAGCAATAAAATGCTTCGCCAAGCACAGCCTGATACAACCACAGATGTAGATTTAGCATATAAAAAACATCAAAAATTTTATGTCAGTTGAAATCAAACATATTTTAATTTTGGACCCTTCAAACTTTGATATGGACTTATTTGAAAACAGGTATCAGGTGAGCCCAAACATTTCTTTTCAGCAGCAGTCTCCAACTACATATCTCCTTAATTTTATATGATAGTCCCACAAAAATGTTGAAAATGTGTACATTTATTTTTTTTTTCTAGATTCTCTCATGTCATGCATGTGGAAGCGGTACCTTTTTGGTCACTATTTATGTGTTGTGTCTTAATATGAATTGTAACACTTTATAGTGACTGACCAGGTCAAACAAATACTTCTCAAGAAACATGCAGCAAAAGAAGACAACTTGGAACAGCATCAGCCATGCCAGACTATGTAGGAATAAAAACCGTGTGTCAAATCGGAATAGCATGGACGATATGTTAGTGATAT